GACCCTACTGCATCACGTAACGAAGACAATCAACAACACAATTTTATTTAACACGGACTAATTCAATGATTATTAAAGGTTCTTCCGTTAGTGTGCGGTGCACAAAGTATCTATAGACTCTTGAAGTCGTTAGCTATCGGTTTTATAATCACTATACTTATTACACCTAGACAACTTGCAGTTCACTCAACTCAAACCTACTGCACGGAGAACAACAAACATAACATGAAAAGTTAAAATCAGATGCTTAAAAAAGCTCCTTACACCAATCTAAAATTATGTGCCAACACAACATAGGTTAACCGAGACCATTACTTTGAGTTGGAGAGTATGCTTTTATAAATCAGCTACTGAGGAACGTTTAATTTAATTATCTAATTTAAAGCCACGCTTAAGTTTAACAATAACACGCTTTCCTCCAGATTTCTCGAACAACAAGATGCAGCTAATGTTGCTTCCCCCTATTTGTAAACAACATAAACAACAAAGCCAGCAATCGGTAAGCAAATCCCATGGCAAATAAGACTCCTACACAAGAGCTGTAGTTATCCAGTGTATAACCATTCCTTGTCGATAGCCTATGCACATAGCCCGCCATGACTTCTGGGTAACGAATAGCTTCCTTTTCAAACAGCGCCTCCAGGTACCAGCGGCAGTAAGACAGGCTGTAGATCACTGGACCCAGCACGCTCTCTGCCATTTTACACAGTGTAGGAGAACTGCCTGCATATTCAGTGCGAGATAGGAATAGAATTATGTCAATTTACGAAGAAAACCGGCAGCAGAGCAGGGTGAGGGCAAGAAACACTCAGCAGCATGAAATTGGTATTGCAAAATAATTAGTAACGACATTTAAATAAATTGTTCCACGATCGCGCCTGGCAAATATTACATTGTAGGAGTGCCAACTCATGCATAATCGCAAGTCGATCACGTGGACAAATTGTTAAGATTTTAAAGAGTTTTTGCCTATGCCAAAAGCGTACGCAACAGACATTCTGGTAAATTTTTAAAAGCTCGGTTGCGTTTGGCTTGGTTTACGATGGGTTGCCTTCGGTATCGCTCTAAACTTTGTTTGCCCAGACACCGAATCCGAAACAATATAATGTCCTAGATTTGAACTTTTAGCGCAAGTAATTATCAGCAACTAGGACTTTCCTCATAATTTCGTCATATTCGAGACAGAGTTGACGAGAAGTTTCCTCTGTTTCAGTAAG